ACCCTCATTTCTGATCCTTATTTTTTGTCTTTATTTCTCATCATTATTACTCTAATTAATAAACCTTATTCCTGATCCTTGAGACCCTCCATTTTAACTCTTTATTCTGATCCTCGACGCGTATTCCTGATCCTTATTTCAGACGTTTATTCCTAACCCTTATTTTTGACCCTCATCTCCTACGTTCGTGACCCTTAATTTTGACCCTTTTTGTAAGCCTTATTCCTGACCCTTGTGACCCGTATTTCTGAAATTCAGTCCTGTGTTTGCTTTTGACCTTCATTTATAATCTTCGTAATCCTCTTTCTGACCCTCATTCCTGACCCTCATGACCCTTCTTTCCGATCCTAATTCCCAATCCTCACTCCTGAGTCTAGTGATCCCTATTTCTGACGTTTATTTCTGATCCTCATTTTTTATCTTCATTTGTGACCTTTATTTAGGGTACTGAGTTCTCGAACAGTTATACCCGGCTGGGCTTGGACAATTGAATGTCGTTAGCACCTTATAAGGGACAAATAAGTTACAAACAGGTTAAGCTACATAAGTTAGTAATCGGTGGTAAACTCATCTCTGATCGATAATGATCGTCCCTACTAATATTGTTGCGTTTGGAACCTACGGGTTACACGTCCGGTACAAACTATGAGTCAGTAACCCGTCACAAACTCATAGGCTCCCAATGCAGATTGGGGCCCAGAAAGATACAGATATGACCAGTCTCGAGTGGGTATGTCTAAATTCTGATAGTGTCATGACTTGACGAACTTCATTTCATCTCACCCTCCCTCCAACCAATCCCTTAACAAAAGAAATGAACGAGAATTGATGATGGAAGTCAATCAACTCGTGTACGTAATAAATGACCTCTTATCGAAAACAATCTCATAGGGAAATTCCTCGCCGATAACAATAAGTATAAAAAGGCCGAAAAAAAATAAAATGCCGCAGAGAATTCACCGCCACTATTCTTTCTCCCCTACCTCATCCGACAATCTCAGGGATAAAAAAGGAATTGGCCCTGAAAAGACGCCAAAAATAATTTCACCGCTCTGTTCTGTATACGTATATACGAGAAATAGTGAGTTTGTGCTCCCAATCCACGAGTATCCGCACGTTCTTCCCCTCCCCCTGGTGCCACTCTCTTGCCCCCTTACGACCAATCGATATCCACCTTCCGGTATTTCTGTGTGTTAGCTTGTATAGGAAATGGTCCCACGAGCCACTTTGGCCCCTTTTTCATAATTCAAAAAGAAAGAAGATGAATAATGAATGAGGGTCAGAATAAAAAGTGAGAGATAATGCGAGCAATGCCAATGGTTTTTCATCAGTTTAATTTTGTACATGGCGGCAATTAAATTTAGGAGGTATAATTGGTGATGGGATGATGTGAATCATATTTGTGCATCAATTATAATGAGGTAAAGTGATATTGAATGCAATTGAGATGATTGCATTGCATTTGTAAATTTTCAATACCAAATATTCTAAATCCCAAAATTTGACCCTTACGCCGTTAAAATATTCTTAACAGATCCGGGGTTGGAAAGTGTGAAGGCAGGACTTGAAACGGACCCAGTCAGGCCCTGATAAGATATAGTCATTCGAGGCTGATGGTCATATCAGTATCTTTGCAAGTCTTTCTAAGTCACGCCAGAATTGGAAAAATTTTTAGCTGACACACTACGAAAAAATGTAATTCTGTCAATCAAATTTGTTTCAGAAACAAATGCCCGAAATTTCTATATAAAATTTTCCAATTAATTATCGTTTGAATTTTAGGATTTAACATCAACTAGCTTACTCCATTCAACAAAAATTGCCTATGAATCCTCGTTTGAATGAAATTTAATTGGTAGAATTATATTTTTTCCGGTCTGTATAAACGGAGAAAAAAGTTGTCCTCTTCAGGAACATGTCGCTGATTTCTAGGAATTTATCAACAACAATTGCTAATGATGAACACTGATAAGAAAGAATAACCCTTGATTATCACTGAAATTTGGTAATACATTTCTAGATATTAGAAACGGGTTCCTAAAAATCGCTGAGATTTCACTAAAAATTATTAACGACATCCCTGAAAATTAGTGATGATGTCACTGGCAATTAGTGATAATGTCACTAAAAATGAGTGACAAAATCATTGAATTCCCGAATTTTGCACTAGTTAAATTTCACAATTTCGACTGCCTAAAAATTGGAGATATATACATTCCTAAAAATTGATGACCTATCCTTGCAAATTAGTGAAATGTCCCTGAATATCAAAACTTTTTTCCTCTGTGCATCTGATGTTACAGATATCTATGAAAACGGCTAGCTGAGGACATCAACTAACTTACTTGATTCAATAAAAATCAACCTTAATAATTGTAGATTTGAACGAACTAATTTGGACTCTCCTCAGGTATCGAAACAGCTTTCATCTTCAGCTCAATCCAAGGTCACATTGTTGAAGTTTTATGATCTAACGAGGTATCCAAATCTTTACCGCTTCGTATTTCATCATATGTGGCCATCCGCGTGATAAGGGCCCACTTTGTCGATATGGAGTTATGGATACTCCGGTGATATTGATACCATTCTGCGCATTTTGAGCCCAAAATGATCCTGATAGCGTGAAAAGTGACGTCGCCAGAGAAGATAAAAAAAATAATTTAACATTGGTTTCAATGGGAGTTACGGAGACAAAAACGTAAACATCTCCGAAACTAGAATCGACAAAGTGGGCCCTTTGTATGCGGACCTCCCCATATATTTATACCATATCAGATGATGACTATGATCTTTTTTGCCTTTCTAGGCCCAACCCCCGAGTGGAAGCTTTAGTCAAGTCCAAGTCAACACTGGATTAGGTCAGGCCTGAGGATTGATCAGAAAGTGATATGATAACTAGATCAAGTCCTGATTAGTTATGTAACGCGGGTTCAGATCAAGTGTTGATCAAACCTTCACGGAGAGAAATGTTCAGTAAAAATTACGGAACTCACAGTTCCCTCACCGATTACGGAATCAACTCAGAAAATTTAAGTGACGGTATCGGAATTTTTTACAGGAGATTCAGATAACAATTACGGGACGCTCTGGGAAAAATCCGCGACAGTTCCATAAAATTTCCTACAAGCACATTTCGCTTCGGAATTACGGAAAAGGTACGTAATTTTTATTGAATATTTCTTTCCGTGTTAGAGTTCTGGATTTGATGAAGCCAAACGTATTCAAACCGGATGATCTGTCCATGGGAATTAATAATAATTATTAATGATAATTAATTCAAAACAACAGGTAATTCAATTTTTTCACCTTAGATCGCCTCTCTTACTGAATCCCTACCGTAATTACCGCTAAAAAAATCTTGTGATTTTTGCTGATCCTGGGGATCGAACCGGAGACCCTACGATTATTAATCCTATGCCCTAACTATTAGACTATCGCGCTATTATTATTCAGTGAACTCTTTTTTACTTATCCAATTTGTATCGGGGTATTTATTGATTATTGAATCGAAATTATCCACGATCTCCCGGATCTGCGCGTATATTGTGAGAGAAAAATTTGTTTAGTTAAAATTTGATCCATTTCATAAATGAATAACTAGTGAATGGACGCTTCCCACCCGTCACTAAATTAATTTATACTGTTTTATTTTATTTTATTTTCATTTCCGGCGTCACAATTAGATTAATTTCATTTTATCCGTTATTATTCTTATTATATACATATTTTTTCCTTAATTCACAAGTTACGATATTGAATGAAGAGGAATTATGTTGAAGATCAATTAAAAGTATTTTTTTGTGATCAACACAAACACAAAACAAAAATCATTCCAAATCTCATTCGGGTAATAGAAAAATCTCTCTATGTATTCCTGAAAATTTTTAAACTCTATTTTTCCCTACATAAAATGTAAAAGGATATCGGTACTTATCCTATGGTAGAATTCCAATTATTATTATAAAAAGTAAATGAAAAAACAATCAGAAAGCGATAATCGGCTGGAAAATGTTTTTTTTCCTGCTTTTATGTCGGCGGGAACTTCGAATCACTTTTTTTCTTCAAGTATTAGAGGGATGTCAATATTTCAGCGAGAAAAAATTCAGAAAAGGCAAAAAAGTGAGCGGAACGAACTAAAAAATATTATTTTTCAATATCTCTGGAATGTTTTAAAATCTATATATTTTTTCGAATAATGAAAGAATACCAATAAATTTGATTTCTGTTCTTGTCTTTTGATAGAATCAATAGAGAAAATGACAGAAATTGAGAATTGGGGACTAAAAATTTTATCGGATTAATATTATGTAATAATAATAATGCTAATAATCATAACACTAATGAACAGATGGGAGCTTGATGAATTTTTTTCTACTCACGATAATTTGCTTGTAAGTTTGATACTTCTACTATATACATTTCTGGCACCATTCCTCCCTCCCCCCGTAGACTAAATTAAAGCTGCTTGATAAATAAATTGAGACCAATAAATAAAAAAAATTGAGAATTAATATTAAAAATTCGAGTCTCGGAAAACGTTTGTTCAAATTAAGATTAGGTGGACCGGATCCGAAACTCATAATTTTTTCTTCAATTGAGCCCGTTCAAATAAAAATCAAGTGCATCAAATCTGAATCCGATCGAATTGGATTTAGGCAGCCTGACCTCACACTGAGATCATGAGATTCCGATCCAATCTACTGGATCAAAACTTGGTCAGGTTCTCATCAGAAATCACCGGATCAGTTGAATCTTACAAAAATATTGGATCAAGTTCTGATCGTAATTCAGGTGGACCTGAAGCAATTTCCACTTGGGCAGGGTACGATATATATGGCCCGACGAAGCCACGCGTGACACCAAATTAATGGTCCTGTGGAGGCAGCCGGGACTAGCCCTTATTGCTTGTCTGACCAAATCCTCAGATTTGGGCCTTCAAGCCCCAATCAACATCATTATCGTTACTTGCCATAATCAAGAATATTCTTTCAAAGACTCACCTTCGTATCCCGGTTCTTGATTTCCTGCCTCTTCGGCACAAGATCCTCCCCATCAGCGTAAACAAGATTCCTGATGAGTCCATTGAATCGCGGTTCAAATATAACACTGGGCAACGCCAAAAGCGTCAACTTACTATTATACCAACTTGGCATCCCGCCGATATAAACGTCCGAATTGCTCCCAAATCTTCCAAATTCAAATTCCTTTCCCCTCGACATTGACGTGGAACTAAGTCCATCCACCATGAGTGTCGTATTCTCATTATTCCTGGTAATCTGCACTTTGTGCCAATGATTATCCCCAAGATCATGGCCAACAGTGACAATTTGCGCCCCACCACCGAGATTGTACCTTAGTCTAAGCGCACTTTCCACCAACTTAATCTCAAAAAAATCATTATTCCCCCCATCATCCGTATACAACAACAAACCATTTCCCTGTTCAGTTTTGAACTCAAACTCAAGACTCCCATTCAACGCTGTATTCCATTTTCGAAATTGTGCATAACTGGATGATGTGCCTTCCAGAACAAAGCTCCAGCAGGTTGGCACCAGCAGGACAAATAAAAATCTCGAAATCATGATTAATAATTTATCAATCAGTTATCACTTCATCAATTCACTTGATCACCACTCACAATTGATTACCCACTCATCTATTCTCATCCGAAATTAATCGAAAACCGAAAGAGTCTTCACCTTGCGTCGATAATATAGCTCACTGCAGGCCCATCAGCAACCAAATTCTTGATATTTTTTGGGTTTTGGGTCAGCTCAGCATGCTCCACGGTCGCCTCATGGTTTATCAAAAAACCAAATGACGTACGATGAATGCAAATATCGATTCTTCCCCCCCTCGCGACTCGTGAACTTCTTTTACGAGCACTCGATTACGACCCGTCCTAACCACACAAATACGTTTGGAGGTTTATTATTGGTCTGGTTGGATCCCAAGGACGTGGCGCACTGCTGTCACAATTTAATTACTCGTTCTTATTTTCGTTCACCGAGATGTGAGAAGAACAGATAAATTAGGCAAGTTGCTGGGAGATAATGAAGAACTTAAAATACACCGATTGAGTTATGACTGGTTCTTTCACTGGTTGTCCTTCACTATTTCACGATGAATCCGTAACACAGAATCGCGGAGATCACGGATCGCTCCATGGTGGGACTTCTCGTTAATGGTTTACGGCTTATTTTGGGGTGTTTTTTACTTGTGGGAGATTTTACTTCAAAGCACACTATTGGGGTCTCGATGTGTCAGAGGTTTTTGACGAATTATTTTATGAAGGACCATGCTAGTTCGGTATCTAGTGATGCTGCTGGGTTTTGCTGGGGATGTTAGTCAAAATCGACGATATATTAATGTTTGGTTTAGGATGATGTCCCTCTTGTACGCGACTACGGTTGATAGACTGCGGTGACAAGAAGAACTGAGGGAAACTACGGCGGTCTGTGCTGGGAGGACGCCGACGCAAGGCAGCTTGCGGGGGTGCGCATGCGGTGGTGAGGGTTCGAAGAGGGATGGAGGAGCGGAATAGGGGTGGATGTAGTGTGTTTCAGGTATTGAGAGGTGTAGAATACAGTCACGGGGTTTTGGTGGTTTATTCTCGGGATATTTCGTCGGGGATGTCCGATCAAATTGTTGTTTTTACTTGACGGCATTTGTTTTGATGGCTCTTTTGGGGGTGGAGAATTCCAACACCTGGATGGTATGATTATATTAATAAGAATCATGATATCATCATAATTATGTGGGGTAGTTGATTAATGAAAAACTATTCGCGTAACGAAATTGATGGGAGGCATTTAATATTCGAAGGGTGAAATTTCATGGGCGTAAAACAGATTTGCAGAGTATTTGTGGACGTCCGCATGAAAAGGGACCACTTTGTCGATTCTAATTTCCGAGATATTCACGTTTTTGTCTCAGCAACTCCCATTTACACTCATGTTAAAGGGTTTTTTTCATCTGCTCCGGCGACGTCATTTTTCACCCTATGAGAATCATTTTGGGCTCAAAATGTGCGGAATGTTATAAATATTATCAAACTATACATAACTCCATATCAACAAAGTAGTCCCTTTTCATGCGGACGACCACATTTATTGAATATCGTGAAGCAACTGGGTAGCTCTCTACCCAGTCACTTTGCGATATTCAATTACAAATCATTATTGTATAGTAGTTGATTTTGGCCAATGTCTGAGTAATAGTCAATCATTGTTCGGATATAATGAGGGTAGAAATTACATACCGGAGTGGCACGACCCGAATTGATATTGCTTCAAGTCCACTTGAATTACGATCAGAACTTGATCGAGTTTTTTAACGATTCGAGTGATCAGGTGATTTCTGATGAGAAACTGATCAAGTTTCGATCCAGTGGATCGAATCCCAAAATCTGGAGGCGGGCTCACACCGAGTTCTGGTCAGGTAGACACAATCTCAATCTGAAGTCAGGCTGCCTAAACCCAATTTGATCAGATTATTAGTAGTGATGCCACGAGACGCGAGAACAACGAGACAAGACGAGACAAACGAGACGTGACAAACGAGACGGGAGACATGACAAGACGAGACGAGAAGCGTCATTCGAGACAATGACAGAAACGAGACGAGACGAGAAAAGCCAGTCGAGAACGAGAGAAACGAACGAGAAGCGAGCTCAGATCTAGTTCTGGTCACACTGATAGAAAGGATTGGTTATTGTTAACGAATGGATTATGCTGGGGACGATGGTCTATTCGGTCTCAACAAATGTCCATTCGTTAATAGTTAACAAATGCACATTTGAGGGACCTTGTTTGACTCAATTTTCACTTTTCAAGTGAACCATTCGTTAACTATTAACGAATTTTCATTTGGTCATATTCATCTCTACCATTCGTGAATAGTTAACGAATCTCGTTTGGAATAAATGAATCAGTCTATCAACGCAGGTAGACACACTGATAGAAAAGATTGGTTATTGTTAACGAATGGATTAGGTTGAAGACAAGGGTCTATTCGGTCTCACCAAATGTCCATTCGTTAATAGTTAACAAATGCACATTTGAGGGACTTTGTTTGACTCAATTTTCACTTTTCAAGTGAACCATTCGTTAACTATTAACGAATTTTCATTTGGTCATATTTATCTCCACCATTCGTGAATAGTTAACGAATCTCGTTTGGAATGAATGAATCACTCTATCAGCGCAGGTAGACAGGATCTCAGTCTGAGGTCAGGCTGCCTAAACCCAATTTAATCCGATTATTATTTCAATTCAACCTCATTCTAAGCGGCCGCTACACTGAGAAGAGCAAAATTTTTTGCAGAGTGCGTGTATACTTGTATCAAGAAACTTGTGAATTGAAAATTGTCAAGAGCAAAATATCTCTTGCACGAAGAAAAATAAAACTTTCGTCATGAAATTTTGTACTTGTCCTAAAGACGAGGATAATTTCTTGACGACAAGAAAGCCATCCCTCCAACCAAGTAAAATTGAATTAATTCATTTAACAGTTTTTTAGCCTCAATTCTAAAATTTTTTAATGCAAAAACCACCTGAATTGATTCGACCACTCGTTTTCTTGATATGAACGAATAGCCTTCATCTTTCGGACAAGTATAAAATCTCTTGACGTAAGATTTTTTTTTTAGTGTGAGACATTGTGCTCTTGGTAATTTTCAAGTCATGAATTTCTTGATACAAGTAAAGACGTAGGGAAGGGTAGGGCAAAACGGACCCCTAGGGTAAAACGGACCACTGACAGAAAATTGGTAATTTTTGTTTTTTTTTTTTTCCTTTAAATCAGGAACAATGAATGTGTTGAATTACAAGTGAGTTTCTTGGATCGTAACCATCACAGGGGTGTTATAGACAAGAAGTGGCATTGAACCGCAATTTGATCAGATTTGCTAATCACCTCAAACCACAAATGACTTTGAATTTTTGTTTTTGCTTTTATTCGGAAGCAAAAACAAAAATTATAAATTTCTGTCAGTGATCCGTTTTGCCCTAGCCTCTTCTACTTCTCAAAAAACTCTTGTCCTCTTGTGTAGATTAGCTAAACAGGTCTCAGATTATATCGGATACTATCTAGTTCCATTGGGAACACCGCCATAAGGCTGTTTATTGGTTTTATATATATTGTATCAGTCAAAGGCTCTCTGCGATACAGAATGGAAATTTACACCGAAAAAAAACGAAATAGTGCAAGTACTGAGATCGCAGGTATTTCGTCTGAAATTCGTACGATAGACAGCTTCGGTGGAAAAACGCCGGCGTTTCACCGATTCTCTACGTGTATAAAATCACAATTGTTTTGTGAATTGAATCATATGCTGATCGGTAAATTATTCACATTAAATAGGGAGAAGACAGGAGATTCCGAATGGAAGCATTGTTATCGTTCAAATTTAAGTTTCAGATTTTCTGTGTTATATCGATCCATTATTATCGAAGAAGTCCGAAAATGCAATTTTTACTGTTAGAAATTTTTTGAAATTTAAGGTGTGACGTATTAGGATCGATCAATACGTCGATTTAGTTAATAATTATATAAAATAACAATATAATGCTGGGTGCTCTTTCCTGTCATCCAGACACTGGTCAGCAATCCCACGGTGTCATTTGGACACCGTGGTAAGCAGTCCCACGGTTTTTCAGGAGTCCAGTTCAGAACGATGAACTGTTTGACTGTTTGAGGCTCTGTCAATGATGACCTGAGACAGTGTTAGTTGAGAAAACCGTGAGACTGCTTAGCTCAGCGAATTGGGGCTTTGCCAAGTTTTGAGGACTCTGGAAGCACCAGAGTTATCGGGAGCGAAGTGGAGCGGATCTCCAAGCTCATAAGTCTAAGTCCGATCTCTTAACAACGCGTAACCGAACCCACGTCGAAACCCTGTCGTGTATTTTAGTCAATAATTATGAATAATATATCTATAGTTTTTACCAGCTAAATACACCTGTGTTTACAATTACATACGTCCCCAATCCTTCATAACCATCCCCGAGTGAGCGAACCCCCCGTGAGCTCACCGCCGAAGTTCTTCTTCTGTTCGGTATGGTTATATATATCCTCTGACTATTGTAGAGGCAAGCACCATACCACCGAAGTTAGCCGAGGTCGGAGTGACAACCAAGGACCAAAGGATTACAGTGCAAGAATAAAATAGTGCAAAGTGCAAGGCAAAGTGTAGTAGTAAGGAGGGTATAATCTTTACCTGAGTTTTACCTCCGGGTAAAACTCATAACGTCACAAAGGTACAGATGCATTTGAATTTTCAATATTCTGAACTTGAATTCAGTTTCAGACTAAATTGCTTATGGAATTCCTGATTCATCTTGGAAATTCAATAAAATTGGAATTTTTTGTGGGACTCGGTGAAGGATAGAAGGGTTTTGTAACGTAAAACACTCAGAATTAGCGTATATATCGAATTGGATTTATTCACAGCGAAAGTAACTTTGGTTTACACCATGAAAGCTAGAACAAGAGTGTGCTCCCGCGACAACGGTATTAGATCATCCGATCGAGGATGTCCGGATTATTACGAATCGTCGCGAGGATGTCTTACGACAAGGACAGC